CCCCCCCACGTTTTCAGAACCCCTGTCCATTAACCTGTGTGGTTGGAGAAATGTTTCACTTCCTCTCTAGTATAAAGTTCCATTGATGGCTTTGTCTGTTTTCTCTCACCATTGGGTCCTTGTCATGTCACACACTGCTGGATATGTGGCAAGTGCTCAGAAAGTATTTATTGGATCCATGAACAAAGGTTATGAAGAAAGGGGGAAGAAAGCAAAGATTGATTGTATGGTGACCACATTCTGGCTCTTTAGATACAGTATGTCATTCTGTTATTGTACCAGATGAAAATAAGTTTTATTCCAAGTTACAGACAACCCAACTACAGTGGCTTAAACAAATATGATATTATCTATCTCAAACAACATGAGTTCCACATGGGCATTTCGGGCTGGTTTGACTGTTAACAGATGTCACCAAGGTTCTAGGCCAGGGGTCCTTCAACTACGGCCCGCGGGCCACATGCGGCCTGCCGAAAACATTTATCCGGCCCACCAGGTGTTTTTGCCGCCGCTGCCTGTTGCTTAGCAGCCGACTAGTTTTTTTTTAAACTATAGTCCGGCCCTCCAACGGTCTGAAGGACAGTGAACTGGCCCCCTGTTTAAAAAGTTTGAGGACCCCTGTTCTAGGCTTTTCTGTGTTTCTGCTGCTGCAAATTGGGCAATATGATAGTCTTGTCAAAGTGACAGTCACTGGATTTTTCTGCTGTGCTGTAAGCAGTAGATTTGTTGCATGAGTAGATTTGATACTCTAAATGCCTCCTTAAACAAAAAGTTTTACTTTTTTTATAATGTACTTTATAAGGAGAAACATGAATGGAATTCCCAGGGTAACAGGAAGCTTTCCTGAAGTGTCCAGTGATCCTCTGCTTTTGTTTAAGTCTAAGCTTTTAAAGTCGACTGGAAACTGTGTGTTGGGAGAGTTTATTGACAGGTGTTACTGTAGGGTGAATTGGTTGGTATTTCAATAGGAGGCCCAGTCTTAATGTTAATAGACTTTTCTCTTCAAACACTTGTCAGGGAAGAATACTCTGGTCTCCTTCGGTGGGGAGTACAAACCAGGCCCCAGTGTTCTGGACGCCAAGTGGGAAGGGACCTGGGGTGTAGGGAGCATATCTGTCTTCGCATTCGGCGTAGACTTTGATTCATACCACAGGTTTCAGTGCCTTGCCTCCCCCAACCTTGAGCTGTGCCTAGTGTCTCAAGTCCGGATCCTTGAATTCACCTCTTCCAGAGAGTAAAATGTGCTGGGTGGGTGGAAGAAGGCCAGCCCAAGAAGGGAGAAGAAATTCATATGTGGGTTTTAAAAACCGATGCTGTTTTCATGCCCCTTGATGCCCCATTTCATAGCTACCTGGGCTCTCCCGTTCCTGAGCTTTGTGGAGGAGATTTGGGAAGGTTATGTGTTCAGGTGAGCTTACTTCCTGCCTCCCTCCGCTTGCAACCTAGATATGTCTTTTCTCTGTCTTAATTTTATTAAGCTCTGTCCACAGTTTTAAGGCTGTTGTGTCCTGCTCTTAGTTCTTGTGGGTTCACGCCTTTTCTCTCTCCTGTCATTTCAGTGGAAAGGGAGGGAAGGGAAGATGATGTATTCATTCACTCATGCTTACCTGGAAATCTTGCATATATTATTTTTCTATAAAGTAGAATTGTACTGTAATTTATCTTTGATCCCTATAGTATTCATTTAAGTTATTCAACATCTGTTGCATATTTAACTGATTCTCTTATGTAGAAATGACAGGATAATGAAAATTGCTGGGAAAAAGAATCAATTTTCCAGAAAATGAAGACTCTAGATTTGTTAAAAAGTGCAATGAGCCTTTTTAAAAATGTCTGTTTAATTTTCAGATTGTGAGCCATGCCTTTAGTGAAGCGGAACATCGAACCCCGGCACCTGTGCCGGGGCGCCCTGCCCGAAGGGATTACCAGTGAACTTGAATGTGTAACCAATAGTACGCTTGCTGCTATCATACGCCAGCTAAGCAGTCTAAGTAAGTCATCTCCTTTTTAGAATAACTTTTTTTTGGATTATCAGTTGCATTTTATTAATTTTAATATTAGCAAATAGATTTCAATTCAATAGCTATGTGCTTGTCCAAAGATGAGACTGCAGCTTTGAGGGAAGGAACCGCCCTTCCTCCCTCCTGCATGTCCCAGTGTGAAATTAGCAGCACCCTCTCTGCCCTTGTAGCACCAGCTTTATGTAGTAAGATGTAAAGTTAGAGTTGACCAGTTCACAAATTATTGGATGAGGCCAAATGAGTAGATATAAAGTAGTTTTACACAATTTTTAAAACTTATTAAAACGAGCATAACATAATTAGCTTTTATAAACTTTATTTAAGTATTTTGTTTAACTTGGACAGGACTAACGTATAAAAGGTAGCAAATTGAAACTAGTTAACAACTGTAATACATCTGGCTCAGAGTAGGCACTCAATAAATATTTGTCGATTGAAGAATACTCCAAATTAATCAAAGATTAAAGCCAAAAAATTATGAGATTTGCTGATTCCAAATTGAAGTCAAGTACGGTTGTTACAGATATACAGAACCAGGTACACATTACATACATAGGGCATATAAAGACCAGCAAATTCAAGCATACGGAAAAGAAGACTTTCTGTTATTCTAATTTTGAACATTCAAATGAACTACCACCCAAGGAATATGCCATGTCTTAAGCCTCAAATATGTGTTTGAAAATGCTTTTCCTTCAAAACTCTTTGAGGTTGCAGTGTTTTTCCCCCTAACTTTTTATATAATCTTTTTTAAAAAATATATATTTTATTGAGTTTTTACAGAGAGGAAAGGAGAGAGATAGAGAGTCAGAAACATCGATGAGAGAGAAACATCGACCAGCTGCCTCCTGCACACTCCCCACTGGGGATGTGCCCGCAACCAAGGTACATGCCCTTGACCGGAATCGAACCTGGGACCTTTCAGTCCACAAGCCGACGTTCCATGCACTGAGCCAAACCGGTTTCGGCAACTTTTTATATAATCTTGTTTTCTCACTTCATCCCACTCCTTTTAGGCTTAGATGGTTACACTGCATTTTGGGTGACAGGTTTTCACAGTTAAGTTTTTCAGAAACTGTTAATAACGAGAAAATTGTCCATAAAATTTCACATACTTGATAGCCTCAAGCACAGGGTATGATTCCTAAAGAACTTCAAGCACTTTTTTTTTTTTTTTTTAAGAAAAAACATTATGGATAGATAGGTATTTTTAGAAAGAATTGTACTGTATTATTACTCAATTTTTAATACATCTATAATCATTGACTAAGTCAAAAGTAACTTGGAAATTAGTTAAATGTATTTCACAGTAGATTTCTTCTGAAATATAAACTAATTATAATTGATTTTTGGTAGTGGTTGTTGATAAAATATATAAATTTGTATAATTATATGAAGATACCTTGCAAATTATTGAAGGGTAAAATGTTTCTGTTTGCATTCACATATATGTATTTAAATTTATCTTTATTGTTGAATGTATTATGGATGTCCTCTTTGTTTTTTTGTTGTGTGTGGTTTTTTTCCCCCCATCGACCTCCTCTACCTGCACCCACCCCTCCCAAGCCTTCCCCACACTATTGTCTGTATCCATGGCTTATACATATACGCCTATAGGTAAATTCCCCAGTTACTCTCTGCCCCCTCCTCTCCCCACCTCCGCCTTCCCTCTGAAATTCATCAGTCTATTCCATGGTTCTATGTCTCCAGATCTATTTTGTTCATCAGTTTATTTTGTTTATTAGATTCCTGCACCATATATTTTTGTAAGAATGCTTTAGTCTCCTGTTTTTATGGCTAAAATATCTATTGGCATCCTATATAATAAAAGCCTAATATGCTAAGTGTCCAGTCATTCAGTTGGCTGTTCAACCAACCAAAGTGTAATCTATATATATAAAAACCCAGCGACCGTTACAGCAGAATGACCAGGACTACCAGAACGACCGGTGGCTATGACATGCACTGTGGCAGCCAGCCAGCCTGATCCGGGCCGGATCTCCCCAATACCCTGACCAGGACGGGCCAGTCAGCCATCTGCCTTGGCTAGCAGACATTTGGGGTCCGGGGACCTTGGAGGTGCTCTGTGTTGGGCAGCTGCGCGGGCAGAGCTCTCCTTTGGTGGAAGTGGATCTGGGATCAGGGCACCGGATTCGGGGATGGGTTGGGGAGGCAGTCCCCGAGGGCCTTGCACAGCACCCGGGTGTCTGACCCCTGTTGGAGCAGCAGCAGGAATAGGGGCCACAGGGCACAGGGGGTGGCAGCACACAGGAGCCAGGAGGCGCAAGGCCTGACCTGGGCTCTTTCCCCACCTGCTAGGCCCAGCAGCACCAGCAGGTGGGCCATGTTGTGCAGCGAGGCACTGGGCCGCCAACCGGAGGGGAAGTGAGCCAGGCGGGCAAGACCCTGCGTCAGCCAGAGCCCGGAGCGGCATGGACGGGGCTGGAGCTGGAAACCCTGGCGAAGTGGGGGGGCTGAAGGACCCATGCCTTTTCAGCTTGG